TTCTATCATGTTGTACCGGATTATGTGCAATGCCATGGCAGCTTTATTATCACAAAATAATTTCATGGGCTGATCATGTAGTATACCCAAATCGCTAAGCAGGAGCCTAAGCCATAGAATTTCACAAATCCACAAAGCCATGCCTCTATATTCAGCTTCTGCACTGGAACGGGGCACCGCATTCTGTTTCTTACTTCTCCATGTAACCAAGTTACCCCCAACGAATGTAAAGTAATCTAATGTTGAGCGCCTATCATCAATCGAACCTACCCAATCTGCATCAATATAACCTTCAACTCTAAGATGATTATTCCTTTTAAACAAAATTCCTTTGCCAGGACTTCCTTTCAAATATCTCAAAATTCTCATCACTACATTCCTATGTTGTTCTCCGGGATCATGCATGTATTGACTCAATACACTTAAGGCATAAGCAAGGTCCGGTCTTGTGTGTGCCAAGTACATTAAACGACCTACTAACCTTTGGTATCTTTCTTTGTCAATACACTTAAGGCATAAGCAAGGTCCGGTCTTATGTGTGCCAAGTACATTAAACGACCTACTAACCTTTGGTATCTCCCTTTGTCAATTGGTACTTGATTAGGATCAACACTAAGCTTCAATCCTTCTTCTAATGGTGTAGCTACTGGTTGACAAGCTGACATGCTAGTTTCTTGCAACAAATCAATAATACACTTCCTCTGTGATAAGAAAATTCCCGAACTGCTTCTCGATACTTGAATCCCCAAAAAATATTTCAAGGATCCAAGGTCCTTCATCTCAAATTCTGTAGACAAATATCTTTGCAAGGCCGCGCATTCTTCTGGGTCATGACCTGTTACCACCATATCATCTACATACACAATAAGTGCAGTAAGTTTCTCATTTCGTCTTTTCAGGAACAGAGTATGATCGAAGTTACTTTGTTTGTAGCCAAATGCTTTCATAGATTTTGTGAATCTTCCAAACCATGCTCAAGGGGACTGCTTTAAACCATATAAGAATTTCTTCAACCTACCCACTTTTCTTCTATCTGGAGCATTACATCCTGGTGGAAGATCCATATAAATCTTTTATGTCAAGTCCATGCAAGAAGGCGTTTTTTCACATCGAACTGTTGTAAGGGCCAATTAAGATTTGCAGCCAAGGACAACAAAACACGAACTGTGTTGATCTTGGCTACTCGAGGTAGGCACTTAAAACCGAAAACCGCAACCGAAACACGAACCAAATCAAACCGCACCGAACGGTTTGGTTTTACGGTTTCAAAAGGGTTTCGGTTTGAAACCGAACCGAATAGGGGAAAAATGATTTGGTTTCGGTTTCGACCCTCCAAAACCGCATACCTTTATTAAGTGTTAAATTTTAATTGGTTATTTTCATTAAGTTGAATTATTTTGTTGTGGTATGAATTCTGTTGTCATCAACTAGGTAATGTGAATTTGTGATGGTATCAGACCCTAAACTTACGCCAATCATGAATTTGTGATGCAGCGAGGCAAGGAAGTCATTAAACAGATCGCATGTTGTGCAAGTCCTTGACAATCTCATCTACAATTACAGTCTGACTTTCTGTGGGAAGGCTTCGGCTCTTCCTGAATTTGAATCGATTGGGGGTTGTTAAAAATATAAAATAGAAGTCAAAGGCAGTGCTCTTCAAACTATGCTTGTATTTTGGATTTGTGAACATGAATTTATTAACTTGGTTGTGTAACAACCCACATCACCCAGGGGAGTAGATCATGTAAGCCTTATATGTATATTTTCATCTCTACCTAGCACGAGGCATTTTAGGAGCTCACTGGCTTTGGATTCCATCGGAACTTCGAAGTTAAGCAAGCTCGCGCGAAAGCATTCCCAAGATGGGTGACCCACTAGGAAATTCTCGTGTGAGTTGCCAGAAACAAAACCGTGAGGGCGAAGTCGGGGCCCAAAGCGGACAATATTGTGCTACGGTGGAGTTGAGCCCAGGATGTGGTGGGGCCCCGAGTCGGGATGTGACAATTTGGTATCAGAGTCAATCCTTGGCCAGAAGTGTGCCGACGATGACGTCGGGCACCTAAAGGGGGTGGATTGTAACATCCCACATGCCCAAGGGAGTGGATCATATAAATGTCACATCCCTGCCCAGGGTCCACCACATCCGAGGCCCGCTCCACCACCATAACACGATATTGTCCGTTTTGGGCCCCAACCACGCCCTCACAGTTTTGTTTCTGGAAACTCACATAAGAACTTCCTAGTGGGTCACCCATCATGGGATTGCTCTTGCACGTTACTCATTTTACTTCGGAGTTCTGATGAAACCCGAAGCTAGTGAGCTCCCAAAAAACCTCGTGCTAGGTAGGGATAGGAATATACATAAGGATCACTCCCCTGGGCGATGTGGGATCTTACAATCCACCCCTTTAGGGGCCCGACGTCCTCGTCGGCACACACGCGGTCAAGGTTAGGCTCTGATACCAAATTGTCACATCCCGGCCCAAGGTCCACCACATCCCGGGCCCGCTCCACCACCGTAGCACGATATTGTCCGCTTTGGGCCCCGACCACTCCCTCACGGTTTTGTTTCTGGAAACTCACACGAGAACTTCCTAGTAGGTCACCCATCATGGGATTGCTCTCACGCGCTACTCGCTTAACTTCGAAGTTCTGATGGAACCCGAAGCCAGTGAGCTCCGAAAAGGCCTCGTGCTAGGTAGGGATGGGAATATACATATAAGGATCACTCCCCAGGGCGATGTGGGATCTTACAGTAAACCTTATATGTATATTCTCATCTCTACCTAACACAAGGCCTTTTAGGAGCTCACTGGCTTCGGATTCCATTAGAACTCTAAAGTTAAGTGAGCTCGTGCGAGAGCATTCCTAGGATGGGTAACCCATTGGGAAATTCTCGTGTGAGTTCCCAGAAACAAAACCGTGAGGGTGTGGTCGAGGCCCAAAGCGGACAATATCGTGCTACGGTGGAGTTAAGCCCGGGATGTGACAGATTGCCTCAAGTTGAATTATTTTGTTATGGTGGATGTGAATTTTGTTGTCATCAACTAGGTAACCATAATAGTTTTTTCAAACAATGAAACCAAACCAAAATCGTTTGAAACCCAACTGAACCGAACCAAATGATTTGGTTTCATTTCGACTTTAGCCTCAAAACCGCACTGAACCAAACCGCAAAAATTTATGGTTTTGGGTTTTGGTTTCACTCAAAACCGCATCAAACCGAACCGCGCCCACTGCTATTGGCTACAGGTGCAAATGTATCTGTGTAATCGATTCCATATTTTTGAGTGTATCCTTTTGCTACCAGTCTTGCCTTGAAATAATCCACAGTCTCATCTGTTTTGTATTTCACAGTATAGACCCATTTGCATCCCACAGCTTTTTTCCAGCTGGTAAATCTGTGATCTCCCAGGTAGCATTCTTCTTCAAAGACTTCAACTCTTCATTCATTGCTGCCAACATGGATCAGTTAAAGCATCTGTTAGGAATGGATACAGTAGATAATTGATGCACAAACGACTTATTTGATTCTGATAGGTGACTAGTAGACACATAATTACTTAATGGGTATAACACATTAGACTCAAGGTTGGGCTTACTCACCGGATACCTAGTTTTGCATTTAGGGTCGGCTTCATAAGTAAGTTTAGGAATACCTCGGTTGATGCGATCAAGGAGATGATGTGGTGGTGGTGCATCCAGGATTGAAGACGATTGATTATGGTTATTAGGACTCGAGATCGACTGTGAGGTAGCTGGCCACACAGGGTTGTCTTGTGGTGAGGAAACTGGCAGTGAGCTATCAGGCAGTGAGTTATATGGCGATGTCGACTCGTCCATTTCAAGGTTTTCAATATTGTCTCCATGTGAATGATCACCACTTGTTTCCAAGACATTACCACTTAATTCCAATTCATTCACATCATTGTTTTCGTGTGAATGATCACCATTTATTTCCAAGACATCACCACTTAAATCCAAATCATTTTCTATCTGTATCTGGAATAGTATAATCAAGAGTTTGAACTTCTTTCTGATTCTCCCCCTAAAGTGAAGACTTGGGATTGGAAAAGTACATACCATGCTCATGAAATGCAACATCCATAGTGACAAACTACTTGTTCGTCAGAGGGTGATAACAATGGTATCCTTTCTGCCTTGATGCATACCCCACAAACACACATTGTAAGGCCCGAGGTTCAAGCTTACTTCGCTGTTGTTTATGAAGATGAATGAAGGCCACACAACCAAACACATGAAGTGGAAAATTAGGGACTGCAGGAGCATCAACATGTGAAAAAGTGCCTGAAGGGGTGTCTGAAAAGCAACCAATCAGGATGGAACACAATTAATGAAATACGCAGCTGAGGTGAGAGCTTCTTCCCAAAAGGATAACGGGAGACGTGCCTTGAGTAAAGAAGCATGAACAACCTCTAGAAGCTGACAGTTCTTGCATTCAGCAACCCCATTTTGTTGTGGAGTATATGGACATGTAGTTTGATGAACAATCCCATGATGATCAAGAAAGGCACGAAGTTCAGAGTTAACATATTTGCCACCATTATCACTCCTGAGAACCTGTATTTGTGACTTATATTGTACTTGTACCATTTTGTAAAACTTCTGAAACAAAGAAGTAACTTCACTTTTGGACTTCATCAAACAAACCCAAGTCATATGTGTGCAATCATCAATAAAAGTAACAAACCAATGAGCACAACCAAGTGCAATAGTTTTAGATGGTCTCCAAACATCAGAATGAATTATCATAAATGGGTTTGAACTTTTATTCAACCTAGGAGGAAATGAAGTACGATGACTTTTAGCCATTTCACAAACACCACAATTAAAGTTAGAAATATCATGCTTAACAAATAGGCTAGGAAACAACCTCCACAAATAGCCGAACAAAGCATGTCCAAGTTGACAATGCCACAACCAAATCTCCGAAGCTTTATTCCTATCCCCCTGATTTCCTTCCACTGCAAGAGCTTGAGTCAACATTTGAGAACTGTTCGATGTCAGCTCCAAGTAGTAGAGCTTATCCTTCCTAATACCATAACCAATCATCTTGCGAGTTCGAATGTCTTTAAAAACACAAAAAGAAGGCCAAAAAATCACAAGACAATGCAGGGCGACAGTTATTTGAGCAACAAATAATAAATTATAGTCAAGAGAAGGAACAACAAGCACGTTATCAAAACTAAGGGTATCTAAAAGGGAGACAGTTCATTCCCCAATAATAGGGGCAAGATTACCGTTGGCAACACTCACGACGGTTTTGGTGGATGGTTTTAGGGTTTGTACCTGTCTAGAATCACAAGTCATATGTCCAGTAGCACTAGAATCAATTATCCATGTATTGTTCATAACAAATGCAAAAACCTTTAAAGCCTTTCCATTTCAGGCAGAAGTTGTGGTTATCAACCGGGATTTACAGCGGCAAGATTTCTGGATTTGGATCGCGGTTCGTGGGCATGTGATGTAGCAACAGATAGTGGTGGGTGACTGCAGGATCAGTGGTGGGTGACTGCAGGGATCAGCTTGGTGAACTCGGGTCAGCAACGACGGCGTTGCTCGCTGGTGTGACGGTGCGCTGTACAACTAGCTGCGCGGCCGATGGTTCTCGGTTCTGCGCACAACATGACTTTTTTTTCTTTTTTTTTTCTAACCTAAGCTCTAGTGCCAAGAAGAGAATGCTTTGAATGATGATTTTATTCTTCTCAAGGAGAGGTATTTATATAAGGTGTACAACTCTAATGTAATAGGAAGAAAACTAATTACAGGAGATTACAGGAGATTACACGGAATTGATATCAATTAGGAATCCTACCTAAAATACAAAGTCAACAGATTTGCCCTCAACTCACTTGACTGGAACAATACTTTCCACATAAATTAGAGCTTTAAAAGCTCTAACTTGATTGAGAATAGGAGGAATATG